TGAAATTAGTCATTTGATAATCATTAAATCTTTTCATATAACCTTCCTCACCCTATAACATACGTTGTTTGTGCACAGGTTATTATTTTGACTATATCGAATGTCGCTTTTCGAACTTCTCATTCTTCAAGCTTTCATTTGCACAACAACTGATATTATATTGGTTAAAATTCAATCTATCTTACTAGAGCACTTCTTGTAAGCATAATATAATTGTATCTAAATCTTTGATATAAATTTTTCCAAATTTCTAATTAAATATATCTTATAAGATAAATTAATATTTTAAATTTACATCCGATTTTGATTTTCATGATTGTCTGCATAAAAGAATAAAATTATCAGAAATTTATTGCATTAAAATCTGTCAAATGACTCCCAAACAGTTCTGAAGTTAGGGATATTGGAATATCTATTGGAAAACCAATTTTTCTTAACTGTAAAGTGCCGCGATTTGTAATAATGCGCTGCGAGATCCAAAAACTAAGGCCATGAGACCAATGATGCATATGATTATATTTTTCAGTGCTACCCAATTTCCAGGTCCAAAACCAACATCCCAATAAGTTACAGTTTCGACGAACACAGGAATTAGGAGTCCCAATATTGAAAAACAAAATGCACCAATCAATCCAATAAAAGGTTCGATAGTTGGTACAATCACAGCCAGTAAGACTGTAACATACAGAGATTTTTTAAAATTTCTAGAATTCCAAAATTATTATTTATGAACTGAATGTATATCTTATAAGAAAAAATTTTTGTTCAAAATTACACACCTGCTCCTGTGACCATAACTGTTCTTAAAATGTAATTTGCTAACAGTGGCTTTTTCTGAAATCGATCTTTTATACCATTCCATGCAATATCAAGGCAAACGTAAAATTGTAGTCCAAATGTACAATAAACGGCAAGAGCTATTAATATTTTTACAACTTGAGCCGCTCTAAAAAAAATATATATATATATAACAAATAATTTCAACGCAATCATATTACATAAGAATTTCGTTGTTATTTATTATAATCCTTACACTTCTTCTGTTGGTAGATTTAATGTGATACTATCTAAAGTTTGGTCCTGATATTTTACATATCCTAAGAATCCGAGTAAAATATAGATAAGCGTAACTCCGGACATTCCTTTATTAAGAACACCACAAATTCCAACAAAATGTTGGGGTGTTTTCATGTTATTTTCCAATGGCATTACAACTCCTAGAACACTATTCTCTTAGTAAAACACATAATAAATATTTCTTTAGATAATCGTACAATACCTATTGCTTCCATTGCGAAGATAGTAATGCTGAAGAATCGTGGGAAGTCCTCGATGGACGCGAATAAAGGCACAGACGTAATGGGTGGCATGTCCCAGACTAAATAATAAAATGTTATTCCTAAACCTGATCCCATAAATATATTGGCCACCATGGAAACAGGTGCAAGATATTTCAAATTCGGAATCCAACTAAGGAGTATCATTGGAATCAATAAACAGGCTGCCATCAGCCGGAGACTGATCTCAGATTCCGCATGATAATGCTTAATAATTTGATTAAAATTCGCAGCAACGATAACTGTGTACACACTGCAGGTGCCAAAGTATGTTGCAAATAAACTAATCTGTATGAGGTACCTACAGATATATTGTGGCTATTAGTGTTCTATTAAAATCAAGATTCCTTAAATATTTTTAACCAATTTATAAATATAAATGTAAATTTGTATTTTATTATTGATATTTTGCCAGATATTTTACCTGATTGGCTTTGAAAATTTTCTACCCCATTGCGGCCCCGTAGCAAATGCTACTTCTGCTACATCTGCAAAACTCATCTCTGTGCGCCTCGTTTTGTAATAAAGAACATGTGCACATTTTACCTAAAATATTGATTCGGTTTATTGTCAGTAATTTATTACTTCGGTACTTGACATCTTGGTATTTATTTACCAAAATATATGCACAATGTGTGCACACAAACGCCACTAGAACTGTGGCAAATACACCGACGACAAGCCCAGCATTTTTAAAAGCAATTGGCATGGATAATATACCCGTTCCAAGTGCTGCTTTTAGTAAGTGTGTTAACGTATCACCGTCCCTGGAAAGAAATTATTGGTGTAATTATTTGATTGTAAATATATTGTTTACAATGTGTGTGTGTGTGTGTGTGTGTGTGTGTGTGTGGTATTTAAGCACTGTATTTTTTAACATTATCCAACACAGATAATAACATATATTTTGCTTCTTTTTGACTAGATGTCATGGCCATGAGTGTGCAGTATAAAAGTTAAAAGCATCGATTTATTAAACATTTTCATATCGACTTCATTATCGCGACTTACGTCGTCGGGTTATCAATTCTTCGTTCACTAAAGGGGTCGAAGCTTTTTCCATCACCCTGCCCGGTTTCTATATCTCGTATAGCGACTTGCACTTTGTATCTGCAAAGATTATAGTATAATTATCATGCTGGCACTGAGTAAGTTTCAGTCTATTTAATATTTTTGATTATCGAATCAACAAAGTTGTTACGCTTCATGATAATACCTTAACTCATGATATTTCTTTAATTGATATTAATTGAAATTAATTAACTTGAGACAAATAAATGAAACTGTATAATGAATTCTTACTTGGACAATACACCATCCATGGACCCATCTTGGGGCAGGAAAGTGTCCATTTCCGTCGGCGCTTTGTTATCCTGTAAGACGATCATTATAATAAAATTATATAACAATCATTTTGTTCTTTTGTAAAATGATATTTTCATTCGTAATTACCATTTTAATGTGTCCGTATGTGTCCTGGTTTAACTAATATACGTTATCTGTAATAAGCAAAATTAATAATACAAAAAAATGTTGACATCAAGAAATATAATATTACAAATCTAACTAATTTACTACTACAAATATGAACATTTTTTAAAACAAAATCAAAGAGACAAGTATTTATCTTTCTCCCTCTTATTTATTTGTTAACAATTTTCCAATATTATGTATCGAATTAGAGTTGAACGATGAAAAATGACATAATATTACTGTCATCTATTTGAACTAATAATTCTTTGATGTACAACGTTAAATTATGGAAATAAGACTATAGCTTTTACGACCCACGTGCTACACTGCACTGATTATACATTAAAAAAGTGGAATGGATTATATATTTCGATTCACTGGAATTGTTATCATTAAATCGGTTTGATTAGTCATGCAATCCTTTGTTCCTTTCCTCCAGAGATATTATCATTGAATAATATATCATAATTATAATCATGAGAATATAAATATCGCAATTATATATATTATATTATATTATATTACGTACATATAATAAAATAAGATGAAAACTGAATTTCTGCAAAAAGTGTAAATGTAGTTAGAAATAATAATTTTATCGGTAGAATGAGACAATATTTTAACAGCTACTGACGTCGTAAAAATTAAAATAAAACAAACAATATTTTCGTTTCTCACTGTAGGTCGTTGCATATGGAATTTGTGACAAAATTTATTAAAATTTGAAAATTAACATTTTAATGGATATTGTAAAAATGAAATATTTGCTATAAACTTGAGGTAAAAATAAAAAAGGGTTTTTGTAAAAATAAAAACTTGTCTTTTATTACACTGCAACAATAAAATCAGTTAATGATTTACACAGAGTTGAAATATTATTACGTAAAATGTGAAGCATGGTTTACAGACAATATTCAACTTCAAGACCTTGCGGTTCTGCGTGCATTAATGACCTATAAGCGGAAATGCAAAACTGTCACTGTCTGACATAAAAAAAATTAATATAGAATGTTAACACAGAATGTTACTTGACACAACGTTAACAATTATTCTTATCTTCTCATAATATCATATAATAATATATAATAATATCATATAATAATAATAATAATATATACAAAATAAAACAATAAATATTCATTAAGATTAGAAAAGACTTATATTAGAATAATAGGAAGTTTATTCTTAAACATTCTTTTTAAAAGATTTAAAAATTTTAAAGATATCAAAGTTTTAACAACAATTAAAGAATTCCAAAGATTTGAAGACAATTAAAACCGTTAATAAAGGATAAAGGGATCATTATAGGTCCCTATATAATGATTGACATAACGGTGTGATTTATAACTTTTCAATAATTTTCAAGTGTTTGATCTCTTAATTAATTTCGAAATCTTTTAAATCTTTATAAATTGAAAATCTTTAAAATCTCTTTAATTGTGGAATCAATTTCCTTGATTGCTTTCCAATCTTTGAAATCTTAGATAATACTGAATCTTCGAAATATTTAAGACTGCCATACATTTTGATACCCCCAGATTACAATTATTATATCTGTGATAAATACGAGCAACATAAACACAAATAAATTAAACAAGTCAGATAATGTTATGTGACAATGACTGACCAAAGTATTTCTTATGTACATAATCTATAACGTAAATAATCTTTATAAAGTTATGTAAAACTGATGCTGAAATAAATTAAATATCGTTTAACTCTATGTAAATGAATTTATTTAAATACATTACAATTGGAGAATGAAATATTATACACATGAAGGATATACACGAGGATATATAAATATAACCTACATAATTATCTTGGCCAATGAATAAAAGACTTTGTTCGCTAATATTATTATATAATGCAAATATGGTAGAATTTAAACAAAGGCTATCTTTGTTGAATTATTTGATTTTTTTTTTTATTATAAAATGTTAATGTTTGTAATTAATATGGAAAACAACATGGAAAAAAAATGTAAAATTTTAACATTTCCATGTTGCAATATTTCAGTAAAATAAAAATTTATCTATTTTTTAGATTATATTTAGATATAATACTTAGATAATATTCAGATTATAATTAGATAATTAGAAATAATGATAGATAATAATATAGGAAATTAACTGAAAGTTAGGTAAACTTGGACGTTTATTTTGGTCTAGCTTTATGCAATCTTGCTTGTTTCAAAATTCTTCTTACATAATTATGATGTGTACATTTACAAATCCCTCCATAACTGGAAAATATATAAACTAAAAAGAAAAAAATTGATCGATAATGATATTTGCTAGTGTACCAGGAAAAAATACTATTCGTGTGTGAATCCGTAGAAAAGTGTTCCATTGAGAACAGCATTCATCGATCATTTTTGACGTAAACTCCGGACATTGTCCTCAAAAATATAGAACCGTCAGCAATTTGTGATACGGTAACCACTAACGGATGTGCGCGTCGGAGTCTAAAAATAGCTGAGAACGATCACCTAAATCTCTAAGTTATTTCATTTCAATAACTATTCAGAATTCTAGAAGAAACGATTTTCACACCAGACTTGATAAAAAAAAATTGTAAAGTCAAAGTATTCCTTAAGAAAAAAATAAACAATATATAAAATATAAAGATTTCAAGACAATTAAAGTCCTAACACTTGGCTCGATTATTAATATGTATTTAATAAATGAATAACAGATTAAATACATGTATGTATATGCAATACACATCAATCTTCATAATGCACGCATACATATTATTAGTATGCATCCGACATGGATTGAAACTTCATTCACCACAGATCATTTATTGTAAGATAAACAGAAAACCGGTAGAACAGCTTTGACTTACGACATCTGGTCAAATTAAGCGTAAATCGCACGCAATTTATCTTATGAAATAATTTACATGTCGGTAGCTAAGGTTCTATTACAGAAGTTAGTCATTAAACTATATTTACTAATTAAATATTTTTTTATATTTTTATCCTTGATATGATAAATCATACACTGCATTTTACCAAAAATTAGACATCGTTGTTAGAAGCTTTATGCTTGATGTGTTGACTTCAATGCCGCTTTGAATTTGAAAATGTTTCATTTAGAAAATCTTTCTACATATATAACTAACTTCCACATAAAGCACAAGGTGTGTATATTCTAGATAAAGTTTTATGTTTCTCTCGTGGTGATAATAAGCCTTAATTTGTGCAAATTCTTTTTCACTCGCCAACAATTCTCAGAAAGCGAGATGAGAGGAAATTGTAACTTACAGAAGAAGAGATAATCGGCATGACGCTGCGGAAAATGTTACACACGTGGTTAGAAGTTATAGGTGTACGATTGTGCGACTGCATCGAAAGATGCCTTACGAAGGCGCCACATTGACAATACAGTGTCACATTCGCGCCGTCGCGTTGCGGAGGTGCTAATTAAAATACAGTACACTATTTGAATCACTAACAGAAATCATCTGCCTATATCTGCATCGGAATAAAACAGAATGTCTTGAAAAAGGACAATCAGGATTGTTCAATTATAAAATATTATGGTTTGAGGTTATAAGTTAATTCAAACATGGCACCCGAAAATTTCCAGGTATAAACGTCCGATATTTAAAATTGAAGATTTATCTTATTTTTTTCTTTTATAAATAAATTTTTCCATCTTACATTTGGTTTGCTATTTCTATACGTTTGATAATAATTCATATGCTTAGTGAGTATTATACTTTTTATTCACTTTCTGAATAGAAAAGAGATCGAAAGACAAAATTACAGAATTGCTTTTGAGAATATAATTGCACGTTTCGAACTAAGAGGTTCAAGATATGTTACGGATAACAATTTATTTTTTCATGTGCATGTGAATATAACGGTACATACAACAAATTCATTAACGTTGAATGTAATGTTATAGCTCAAGTATAAAATAACACCATTTGATAAGTGAATAAAATAAAAATGATATGAGTATAATGGCATTCTAGCAGATGACGTGATTATGATGTACAATCATCACCATTTTACTGAATATAAATCGTACACTCATTTGAATAAGACCTTATGTAATTAGTTTGTACTTTAGCTCCATCTAATGCGTCCCTCTAACGATTACTTATGTTTCGACAAAAGTACCGACAAGTTACGTAAAAACAGATAACAAAACTATTATACATATTAATTGCACCAACAGTCCTAGCTATTCACATTGAAATTAATTAATCGTTAATCTATCCTTGTTAAGGCGACAATTACGAGAGTGAGTATTACGTGCAAAATTAGGTCGTTCAACTTTTAAAGTTAACCTTTCATTCATTGCAGTCAATTTTACAGTTCATCAGATTACTGATTAACCCTAAATATCTATAAAAAACCGAGAAGAAGAAATATTTTGGAGATACATTCGACGTAGGAGATGAAAATGAAAAGATTATCTAGAATACAAGTAAATAAGAAGATAAGGTTATTGTGCGTGACTCGATACTTGACTCTTACGAGTCATCCAAAACCAAGTTGCTCTGATAATTTTCACAATAATTTATAATAAGTTATTTCTTTGTCGTAACAGTTATGTACATAGATATAATTATTCTTTTAAACTGCGTCGTTATGGACCAGTGTAAGGAAAAACACATCTGTTACATGAATATAATTGTTTGTTTCTTGAATCGAATTCTGTTTATTAAACTTTGAACAATTAATGATTCATTTTGGCCTAATTGTAGGTTAAATGCTTGGAATCAAACAGAGGAAATTAATTCAAACAATCAAGTTTATATAATCTTTTCAATTATTTATTAGAGAAAAATATTATTTTCAGATTTTTTATCAAGTATGTATTTTTGAATTTTTTTTATCAAGTATGTATTGAGAAAAAGGTTATGAAAAGATAAAGAACGATATCATGTAATTAATTACTTGCTCTGTGCAATTCTAAGGCAATTACATAAAATCATAATAGATTCCGTACACAAAATTTCTATAGATTCCATAACAATTTTTTATAAAAAAATTATAATGATTTGTCACATTGATTATTGTTCCAAGTTGCTCGATAATGAATTTGTCCACCGGAATAATTAGCATTTCACGTATTTTATTCTACAGTTATTCTACAAATAAGTCAGCTATTTTTAACTTTCGAATGGTCCAGTTTTTAATGAGAAAGGAAATCGATTAATGATACTTTCTGCCGTGTTTTGAATCACCACTTTCCATTCGTGAATTTGTTTAGTCAAATAATTATCTTCAGATTTTTCCTTGCGTGTAATTTCTACGCACTATTTACATACATTATATTCTTACATATTTACTTTTTCTTCATGGAAACTTGACGAAATAATCCAGCTACTGTTATTTTCAAAATAAAGTTGTGACAATATAATTTTATAATTGATGTTTATTTAACAATTATTATGCGAGATTAACCTTCTATAACAAGAAAGGAAAGAAGTTAAATGTTAGACGTCATTTATTTGAAATAGATAAATTATGAAGAGGGATATGATAATTACAGTGTTTTCACGTACTGCTTAGTATTTAAAATTCCTTTTCGTGTCTATTTCATTAATCATTTTATTTCGTTTAGTAGCATCATGACATGCAGACACGTGTTACAATATAGTCACCTGTATCGAAGTTCCTTGAACGTATTTGAAAACCGGGTCACCTTGAGACTAGATTTTCTAGCTCATTGCAGATGTCAAGGTTTATCTCCATAACTCATTTATCCACTCAAAAGCAATGAAAGCAAGGGAAGAAAGCATTTCGAATGAAGCAATTGATTATTGCGGGTAATCAATTTTATTTATTCAATCCTTGGACTGACGTTCAATAATAATTAGTTTAGTAAGTTTCACAACTTTAATCTAGTTTCGTATGTACATACGCATGCATATAAGTACAATAATATAATATATATATATTTTTTTATTTTTAGACAACAGAAAATTTTCGCCAAAAAAAAAAAAAAAAAAATCATAAACTATGAACAGTCGAATAAAATAGTCAAAAATAATTACATAAATATATATTATTTTCTTATATTTTATGAATATGTAACAAGGAAAATCAATCTCGTTATAGTTATGTCTGATAAGATTACAACGCTTTTAGTCAGTGATATCACACAAGAATTCTTGAACAGTTTCAAGCCGTTTTCTTTCGAGCTGAAGAGGCTTTACATTATATTTCTAGGAATTTTATTTTCTCAGATTTATTCTTCTCCTAAAGTTCTTTAGAATAAAAATGTATTGAAGTTTTAAATCTTTTTTTTCAGAATTCCAGAATAGAATTATGGTACTAAGAAAGGTATTAAGAATACCAAATATCTTTGGTTCCGAGAATTTATTGTTGTACGAATAAGGTCGAATCCCTTCTATTCTCAAACAGGATTGGCCAAACTCTTCTCACATTCCAAGAAATATCTTTCTTTCCTTCTGATGCATCAACCCGTGTTATTTGGCAATGCCATAAGATGCCACAGTTCAGAAACCGAGAATTTTTTTTTTTTTTCGTTACATACAACGTACATGCACTGAAAGATTAAAATTTAGATAACGAATAAGATTGTATTTAATTCACAAGAAACATAAAAATATTGGATCCTTGAAAATATAATATCGAAATGAAAATGCCTAGACTGTAGATTGCTATGGTAATATGATGCAATTGGTAATGATAATATGATGCAATTCATTACTTTTGCTGCAAGAAGTTCCTTCAGTCATCATTTCTTTGAAACGATAAAACGGAAACCAAAAACTATTTTTCACCATGATTATCACAGTCAAATATCAGTAAATTCGTAGATTAGATATTGTGTTACATGTTGCTAAGCGTACAGTGCAAGAATACAGTGACGTGATCAAAAGTGTGAATTAGTCGGAAGAAAAATCGATTTTCATGTCGTGAAAGGGTAACGAACGAATGAGTCTACACAGAGAACAGCAGTTTCGATGCGCAGGTCCGAAATATCGACGCGAAGTTACATCATACGAAGATACTATGCGATGGAACTACTATACGAACCATACAAGTCGCGTCCACACAACTTAACACCACGTGCTCTCGTAGCGCGGCGTGGCTGTACTAATGAAACACGTTGCAAAGTTTGTAATTCATCGCTTTTAGGTACAAATTATTGTTTCTACAAATTCCCTCTCTTGTTTTTATTTCTTATTACATTGAGTTCCCCAATTTATAAAATTAGGTATCATCGAAAACAGCTGTTCAGTAGCCGCTACTACATCTGGACTTTCAAGTTAAAAAAAAAAAAAACGCAAGATCGTATGAGAAAATTTGCATTACAAATAAGTTGTGCTTCTTTCGAACGATATGTGGTTATGATCCTTGACTCTAACATCATTTAAAATTAAATCGATAAGCTTGTGCATGTGAAACTCGCAAGGAGTTCGCACTCAGAAGGTAAGATGTAAAACAGGAAATAAAATTTCAGAATATTTTTTTTTTTAGTTTGTATAGATCATAATGCAAAAATATAGGTGGAATATTTGCGCTAAATAACAGTTGAATATAACTAATTAGATGTGGATGAAGTTTTTCAAAATATATGTAACCACGTGCCAACGGTTAGAATTCAACAAAAGAATAAGATAGAGACCTGATAGAATTGCAAATGTATCGACGCTATCCAGATCGACGTGACATCCTAGATCTAGGTACGAAAATACACTATCCATATTTGCGAAACCTCTCTTGCTTAACCAGTTCGGAACGTGCCAATGAATTTCAGAATAAGGAATGAAAACTCAAGCAATCTGCAATTAATCGCAGTTCATTATCGCCAATCTCGTATTTTCCCGCGGAAATCCAATTTGGATATCGATCAATTGTAAACGACTCTAATTATCGTTTTGATTTTCCGTATGTTTTGTGATTTAAATCTAGCATTTGTTACGAGCCTTTGAACAGTGACTGGAGGCAACGTGAATCTAATAATGGATTTTAAATGTAAATCGAAGTCTGCACACGTACCTGCCGTTAAGCACACGAATGCTTGGTGATTTTATGGTGTGTAAAGAAGAACGTGGCATGTACGGGTGAATCTCGTAGCTCGACGTTACTTCATTTCTGGCAAATGCCGGCTCGTACGGTGGATTTATTAAGATACGAATGTGACACTGTGTAGCAAGTCACAAAGCACACTGTGAGCGGCTCTTGCTACGTGTACCACCGTATACTACCGCGAAACACTGACTGCAGGAGACCGCCGTTCAGACAAGAATAAACGTGAATAAACTGAAAGTTTTTGTCCCCGGAAGAGCGTCCACTGCGTTTCATCAGCCAACCGCTAGAGGTCTAACGTCCCACGTAGCGTTCAGTAGTCGAATTTTGCTCGAATTTTGTTCGATTACGAATTTTGAAAATCGTATCTTATCGGAATAATCAACTCTACGAATAATGAAATTAATTTTCCTTCTTATCATTGAAGTTCATACATAGACGAAGAGAAATAAGCAATAAATATTTATATATATATATATATATGTATATATTTATTGAATGATTTTATTGGGTATATTAAATTTTATGTTTTCATTATTTAAAGTTTTCTACGTTGAAATGTATTTTTTCATCATTTAGAAGATTATTTTTTAGTTTTATATATTTAATCGGTTTATCTGTATCTTGACGTAATCTTTGAATTAATATTTGCAGTTAGAGGCATGGTTTTCGTGTTAAGTTAGTTCAACGAACACGTGGTAAGGATCGTATGATGAAATCCTGATCGGCGTGTCTGCAGTTACGTGCTATATACATGCAAATGAAACGACACGATTTAAACGATCAAAATGTCAATCAATTACAGCAGTGACCAATCATATCTTTCAACCGTTACTTAGGTTAGTAATAATAGTAATCAATGTATCATACGAGTATCCTATGCCCAAAATTGTTAGATACATATTTCTTGCATCATTCGCTAGAAATTTTTATATAACGTTCATTTAAAAAGTCATTATAATTACAAATATACATTGCATTGTGTTACGTAATTTATGTTCTTATCGTTAAAAAATATAGTTAACATAGACGACATTAAGCAATAAATCTTGTCGAGATATTCGATAAAGAGGAAAAAATTTTTTCCAGTAATCTGATTCATAATTCAATGACACTGATTCCTTGATAATCGAGAACTGTAACCGATGAAATGTAAAATATAATTGCAATATACGAGAAACGTTACGACTTATCGATCAATTTTGTTCATGCCATCTTAAAAAATTTATTTTTGTAAGATTCTTGTTTTCCATTTATTAATTTTCTTTCATAATTTTTTAAAGAAAAAAAATTGAATTTAAAAATGAGTAAATCTTAGGAATCTTTGAACAACATCCAGAGATAACGTAACAACGCAGTCAGGATGAGCTAGTTGCTTATGGAATTTGCAAACATCGTGCAAAATAGAAATATAATAACTGTATCATGGCCGTTCATGGTGTAATTTAATAGTACACATTATTACGTTAATTCTGAGAATTAAATGTATTTATATTTGCTATATATACGTTAGTAAATCACTTTCATAATTGTTTAACGATATATTGCTCACCTTAATTACAATATCTCATATTTTTTCGTTTTTCAATACTGTCGAAATATTTGAAGCTTCCCGTTTTTCATCTTTTATACGAAGTTATATTGTGCACATTATTACGAAATAACGGTGAAATATTTTAAATTAATTAAAATATCAACAAATGAAAACAAACAAGGGAAATGGTAAAAATTTCAATTTTTTAAAATTATGAGATGGTATATAGGATATTTTAAGTTTTTTCTTGCTGTTAACTATCGATGTTTATAACTTAAAATTGTGACATAATTGTGCAACGCGTTTCGTAACATTATTATTGATTTACTGTATCAATCGATTATATTGTGTAAGATCATTCTACAGTGATTCGTTTATTTTCCATGTAAACGTCATGTACTTAGCTTGGATTAAGAGTTTTCAAGAATTTTCATCGATATAGTTTTATTAATTTAAATCAATTTACAAATGAGAGAAGCGCCACTCGGGCATTGGTCGTTTTCCAGAATGTTTAAGAGGGATGATCAACTTTGTTGGCTTGTTCTTTGTATACCACGTATGCATGTCGTGTAAAAAAGGCCTGGTTAATTCTCGTAGCATGTGTTCTCTTTCAGATTTCGTTTTCGGAAATTCAAAATATTCGTGAAGGGGCTGCCATCGTCTGTCGTCATCAGCTTCGACATCCTCCAATTTACAACAATCCATTGCTGGCGCTATATAAATTTGAAAATCATTTGCAATTAAAGGGAGAAGAATATTATTTTAAAAAATCAGTAGACAGTCGTAAAAGATTCTGACTTACGTTTTCTAGAATGGCAAACATTTGCATCGACAAGTGATTCAACTGGCAAAGTTTCGTTCCTTTTTTGAACGACTTCAAAAGTATTTGCATGATCGAGAGCGTCTTTTATACTCGTGTCTTCTGGATTCTATTCAAAAAATTCATCTTTTATGTGCATCAGTCGAGGATGTTGAGAAAGGTGCTAACAACTGTGTTGCTAACAACGCAGTATTTGCATTTTACGTATATTTGTCTGTTACGTACATATATTTTCTAACACGCAGCCTTGATACAATATTGTATGAAAAATGCATGTGATACCTAGTGCACATAGTGCATAACGTTATGATGTGAATAGACGGGCAAACACTACGCAGCTGCTATTCACGTAATGTTTTGAAAATCCAAACTTTTCACTGTGAATACACTCCAAAGCTGTTTCGTACAGTGATTTTGTAATGTTACAGGTGTTCTTTAGACACAGGCAATGTCATCGAAATTGAATTGTTTTATCGTAAAATAATACCGATCAATTTAATTTTTAATAATCTTGTATAGTTTAGAAATCAATGTCAGTGTGTTTTTTTATTTTACTGAAAGGACGATGATTGCACAACCGAGGTAACAAACGTTCGCTTTAACAATGGAAATTGTTGACCTTGATCTATTTCGCGTTACCTCGAGATAAAGACACGTCTTTTTTTTTTATCGTCGTAAAACGAATGAAGTTCATCCGACGATTTTAGCGACGTGGTACGGTATCCCGGATATTTAATTCCACGCATTTGCTGTTCTCACGCTGACACGGACAAATTATTTTATTTTTCCTAGTACTGGTTTCGAGACCGTTATCAAACAGTTAAGAGCTGCCACAGGAAATTTGAAAATTAAAAAATTCTAATATTTGGAAGTTTCGCAAGAGAAATTCACTTCGAATAGAGAAGACTTTGGATAATACCTGCGTTCGACGAATTACGTCTGGTATGTAGTTACTCGAATGATCGATATCGAGCTTCTCTTCATGATTGAACTTCAACTTCTCGTACACGTAGTCATTTATATTTCCAACTGGAAGCTCACTCGGTTTTCTGGACTTGTCTCTCCACCAAAATGGTGGTTTTAATAGACCACACGGCTCGTCATCCGTCCTATTACGGATACTGTTTTATTCTTTCAACTCTTTTTTTTTTTTTTAGTGCAAGCAACAAGAAGACTTACTCGAGCCTTTCTTCTTTTTCTACGCGTGGTACGACAGGTGCTTTCTGTTTCTCAAGATCTTTCAGTCGTCTTTCACGAACGTGCCACAATTCGTACTGTCTCGATCGCGGGAACATCGAGAACACAGCTACAGTTTGACGATATTTTAGTAAAAGTTTAGCAAATTATTAATTTAACATCAGTCAGTAAATTCAACAAGAGTATAGTAGAGATGTTAGATAATTCTAAACGTTTGTTTAAATTGCAGTTAGGACTAAAGCGGAGCGGACATGGCACAACTTATTATCGCTGGTAATACGAATCGGTGATGAACAATCGGACTGATTTTTCTAACGACGACTCGCTGAAATTGGGTTACAAATCACTCGTGACTCATTAACGAATTAATTAAAGGATTCGCTCGGTCATTGATTGCTTCTCGACGTTCAATTATTCGTCCGGTGGACGATTCGATTGGCCGAAATTGCCAAGACTGGTATGTGTCGATCTATTACTTTAAATGGGAAACAATTAATATTCCAGACAACTTGGAGGATCAACTGTGTGTCGTGGATTAAACTCAAAATCCCACTTTTATTGGTTGTGTGAACATATTGTTCGTATTAATGAGAATTTTCTTCTTATTATAAAAAATACAACGAATAGCGAAGAGATCAATAATTAAGATAAAAAAAAATCGTACGGTATTTCTAACATCAATCGGCACGAACATTTTTGTTTCTGTTGATACTCGGATTTCCATTTTGGCATGTTACTGAGAGTTTGGAAAACGACTCCGTCGTCCTTTGTCGGACAGTCCACGTACATTTCTTTCTCTTTCTCGAGCCATCGGTTCAAAGTGTTCGAATCCAGTTCCTTCATAGGCGCTAGAGGGTCCGCTGCAACAATTACACGCACGTTCGCCTAATTCAATCGCCTTAACTCGATCGTGACATCGCTTTCAATGGCACTGAAGCCGAGGGGGATCGATTAAACGATGAAGGGATAAACATATCATAACGCTCGTCATTGCAACGCGCTTTCAATCAAAGGAATTGCAACAGAAAACGACTCTTGTCATATTTTTTTTTCGATTGAAATTGACATAACGCGAATCGAGATAACTTATTCTTCGAATTTAGGTGTCGCGCGTTGGAAATGTTATCGTGTTTGAATAAGATATTCGAGCCGATAAACTCACACACTGTCCTTTTGATTGGCCTGAGCTGTTTAGCCACGCATTTATGGCAGGAAGCCGGTTCTCCATGATAAAATATTCCATCGGATAGAAATGTTGGCGAAACGTCAGTTATGTAATGATCGGCAGGTGGTGGCTCTGGAAACTAGATCATTGTACCATAAAAGTAATTGTATCATAATCGTATGGAAATTACAGGGGAGGAACATGATACTGGAATGTCCCTATCCCGTTCTCCTCTTATAACATTCACACGAGGTGTCAAGAATCATAGTGGTGTAAGTTGTGCCTTTAAACTACCAGTTTGCATAAATTGCACATTAATTACTTTATTTTTCAACTTATGGAAAAGAACTGTAACAGAGAATAGAGAGTTACAAATGTAGGAGATATTTCTGAAAGTTCAGACAGAATTTAAATTTTTCAATATTTCGACTCGCATCACTATGACTTTCGGACCGTCAATTATTAGTTAACTATTAGTTAAATAGTTCCTTGTTCATACTAGTTAGTTAACTATTAGTTAACTATTAGTTAAATAGTTCTTTGTTCGTACCATGAACATTTTCTCGTATAAGAGTTTTCAGGAAAAGATGAAGGAAAATTTAAACTCTCGCGTAAAATTTACTTCTGTAAGATTCGCCGATTCATTTTAGATTCGGTTAAACTCATCGAATCGATGATTCACTGAGATTCCACGGGAATTGCGGTTCGTTTGCGTGAGATAACCGTGCGATAATCTTATTTCATTAAGACGACAACATTGCTGATCAGAACTCCATGAAGGGAATGCGGTTCCGCTTCTCGGTTTCAAGCTGATCGTCTTGGCGCCAAATCGCGTCTCGATCGAAAGTTCCGATGAATTACGAGCCAGTAATCGAAACCAGTTCCTCAAGGTTGTATGCCTTGTATGCCTGAAACCATTACGTACTAATCTTCGTGGCAAGCTTCATTGGAATTCCCGTAACCTAATAACACCAATTCTTTAAAAAAAAAAAAAAAAAAAAATTGGCGTGTAAACTCGTCTAATTTCAATCAATAAAAATCCCAAGTGAGCTTCGTCAATTCATCTTCTTTCAAGATTTGTTTAGAATGTCTGCGAGACCTGTGGCTCGTGATTACTGTACGAAAGAAAAGTCTTCGAAAGAGAGTGGCAAAAGTAAACCGGAAACGATTGATGTGCCAGAGTTCGGAGCTCGCGACATCGTCCCTCCAGACTCTAAAGAACAGTACCTTTTCTTATTAGAATTCTTTATTCATCACGTAACCAGCGAACGTCTGGCGAAACTCAATCAAATGTTCTTCGTCCCGACTACGATATCCGTGGAGTTCCTCAACTTCGCGGGGAAAGATGGCATCGAGATAACCCCGGTGGACCCGTTGTTTCAACCTCAAGCAGGGGTTGCAGATGACGTCGAATATTTCTTCTCTGGTCGCTCTGTGATGTTCGCCATAGATCAATACACCGTGCTGAACAAACTCTTGGACTTGTTCGTCAGACTGTGCGTGCAGAAGAAAATGCCAGAGGGTGTGAAGCCGGATGTGTTAGTAGGCAAAGGAGAGCTGGATCTCTCGAAACATTTCGCTGCCTTGCGAAAGGAAATGCTGCAATGCTGGCACAAAATGGCCCCGCCGCCGAAAGTCTTCGAGGGGGAAGTTCCGTTGATTTACAACGAGAGTACAATCGGCGGTGTGTGCATGTTCGTCAGAATTTCCGCATTCGGGCAAACTATCGTCACGGAGTTCGACGCACCGCCGGAAAGAACCGTCTCGTCTTACATCTTCAAAGGCGGCAGCGGAATCTGTGATAAATCAACGCCAACGTACAAATGTCGCATCGTCGACTCTCAAGTCGCGAACATTTGCAGAGACTCGATGGAGGAACTGCTGAAGGGCGGACCTCCTTGTCGCGTTTGCATTAAGGAAGAGCATCCCTGCACACCGTGCGGACAGACAGTTGGTGCCACGTTGAAACCGAACGTAAGCCGCAGACAGATCGGTGGAGCGACGACACCGGCGACGACGTTGCGATCAAAACCGGATACTTGTTCCGACGTGCAGAATGCTGGTCTGATACAATCTAGCCGTGGGCCGGTGCAACCGTGCGGAAAGATGGTGGTTCTGAAAATGTCCGGGATCCTGGATACTGGCCAGGACAAGAAGCCCACCGTTACCGTGGCGCCTGAGTGTGAAACCGAGCCGGTTACCGATCCCGATCATGACGTGTTTGTCCTTCGAATCGGAAAAAAGGGGCTCGTCGGAGCTGGAGAGAAGTCTGACATACAGCTGGAGATGAAAACACCTAAAGGGCCCGAGAAAGGACCTCCTATCAGATGCGAGACCAGGGAAATGCAGACGGACGAGAAGAAGAGCAAGAAGAAGGCGAAGAAGAAGAAGAAGAAGAAGAAGTGAAGTTGGGTGGATTGGATACATTTTTTTCCTTTTAGAAATTCGTTTGAATTGACACCAGAGTTGCACATTGATTTTATCGTTGTATTTTGTATTCTGTTTATGCAAGTTGTTATTAAACTCATTCTTTTTTATCATTAAATTGCGATTTTCTCATTGGACTTGACTGAACGTTTATTTACACGATAGAGTGTTTTTGCAGAGTGTTTTTTCATTTCTCACGATCTGCTGAACTAAATGATACGAGTAAGATAGGTCGTGAAATGGGCGAGCAATTTAATTCGCGTGTTGTATCGCGAAGCGCCCTCTGGATAGATCTTCAACGTCGAAATTTCGAAAACCGTGCGACATCGATGGCAACATCAAAATCGAAGGTTAACAGATAAATTTTTACGTGATACTCCGACGATCAAGAAACTAAATTCATGGGAAGTGCACTTGAAACTTGATAACATTATATCGCGCTCAAAAGAAAAAAAAAAAAAAAAAGAAAAAAAGAAATGGCGGATGAACAAGAACTATTCCTGATCGAATTTCTGGTCGATAAGGTTAAAATTCCAGTGATAAGGGCCATGCAGGATGAAGTGCTGCCTGCTTGTACTTGCGTCTCGTTCCAAGTAATCTCGAAAATCACGTTAAACTCCCATGAGTGAACCGTCCCACGTATCTCTTATGTTGCTCCTACACTTCCGGACATCAATTATGAAAAACGATTCTGTTCCTTTAACTCAAAGCAATCGTGTTTTCCGTGTGAATCTACAGATTCTGAACCTGCCGTCAATCGACATTTGCCAAGAAGCCCTGACAGATAGTTGCGGCTGTTCGGAAGGCGACACGCAGGTGTTCAAGAAAGGGAAATCCTGTTTATTCGCGTTGCCATCGATCGTTCTTCAGAGGCCTTTAACCACATTCCCCATAAAACTGTCCGTCTACAAGAAACTGCCACCGGCAGTGCTGCCGGACGTGATGCTTGTTGGCTGTCATCAGATCGAAGCGAAGGCGATAATAAACGCGGTGCTGAGCCAACAGGTGTTCAAAGTACCGAATCCTTGTCAAACGATCAAGGACACGTTCAAGATCGCCACAGCGACCGGGCAATGCGTTGGATCCGTCACAGTTTACATACGTGCTTCCTGCTTCGGCAAGAAGATCATTACCCAGTTTCAAATACCGCACAATAGAAAACCGTATCTTTTTAAAGGGACGAACGACAGTCCTGTCTTCCAGTGTAAAATGATACCCTCCGAATGTTACACGCCGGCTCCATTGAAGTGTACCTGTACGAAGAAGTGTGTCGATGGTAGCGGAGAGTCTGCAGGAAGAACCTGTTGTGCCACGCCGATCGTTCAGACGTCTTCGTGCCCACCGTTACCTAAACAACCTGATTACGGGCCACGGCCGTGCTGCGCCTCCCGCCAACCATCTTCTGGGTACTCGTTTTTCTTCTTTTCTTTTTTTTTTTCATTTTCCATCTTTCACGGATAGTACAGTTGAATTTAATTAAACTCAACTGGAAGTCAAATGGGGGCACAACTGGCTTTGTTCACTTGTACATGGTCCCTTTCTTATTTCAGCATTCTAGCTCTTACATTTCAGTATTTCCAGAGTTTCACATTTTACACGTGTATTTCAGTTTTCTGTTCTTCATTTCTTGATATTCTGTAATCTCCCAATTTTTCTGGATAGTACAGTTAAATTTAATTAAATTTAACTGGAAGTCAAACGGGTACGCAACTAGCTTGTTCACTTGTGCATGGTCCCTTTCTTATTTCAGCATTCTAGCTCTTACATTTGCAGTATTTCCAGAATTTCACATTTTACACGTGTATTTCAGTTTTCTGTTCTTCATCATTTCTTTTTTCTTACATTTCTTGATATTCTGCAATTATTCTCTCCATTTTTCTGGATAGTACAGTTAAATTTAATTAAATTTAACTGGAAGTCAAATGGGTACACAACTAACTTGTTCACTTGTGCATGGTCCCTTTCTTATTCCAGCATTCTAGCTCTTACATTTCAGTATTTTCAGAATTTCACATTTCAGTTTTCTGTTCTTCATCATTTCTTTTTTCTTACATTTCTTGATATTTCGCAATCTCTCAATTTTTCTGGATAGTACAGTTAAATTTAATTAAATTTAACTGGAAGTCAAACGGGTACGCAACTAGCTTGTTCACTTGTGCATGGTCCCTTTCTTCTTATTTCAACATTCTAGCTCTTACATTTCAGTATTTCCAGAATTTCACATTTTACACGTGTATTTCAGTTTTCTGTTCTTCATCATTTCTTTTTTCTTACATTTCTTGATATTCTGCGATCTCTCAATTTTTTAGTCAGATTTTTTTCTAGAATACAAGCATATTAATTACTCGTGATTAAAAGTGAAGGATAAACGAAAATCAGAGAAGAGAGAGAGAGAGAGAGAGAGAGAGAGAGAGAGAGATTCGTTTGTTCGAAACCAGGCGCGTTCGAAAGCGAGAGCAATTTAACTAGATTGATTTGCCTACACTTTAGTTACACTCGAATACATTCTGTTTTTGTTCCAGTACCATTACTTTATCTTCAATATTAAAAAAAACAAGCGTTTGAACGAACTTGCTGGTAATTTGAATAAATTAATTAAAAATCAATATTGGCAGTACGCTGTTTCAAACGTGCTATAAATTCCAGTGACATTCGTAATAATAATAAATTTCTACATTTACATCTTTTCATATATTTTCTTTTTTTTTCTTGTAATTTTAATATTGAAGCTTCTGTTTAACTGTTACAAACATTTTATTAATCGCTTTCTGATACATATCACGAGATTCTCTGTCCATTTCTACCAGGAAACAATGCCCATGTTCATCGAAAGTACGACGAAAAGATCAAACAGCTTCTCCATGTTGCTGTTCTGAGCCAATCTCTAGTTTTCGCGCCTCTCTTCGTCAACAAACAGCAGAAGGGAAGTGCAGCCCGTGTGCAGAGCCGGATCCTTGTCCACCTTGTTGCTTAACGACAGGATTCAAACCATTTAGCGATTTGCTTGGCAAGGAAACCGTGAAAAAATGTGGATGCCCCGTGAAAGATTTCAGTTGCAACTGTGGTAAAAAGAAATAAAAAGGGAAATTTCCTTTTTCTGGAGAGTGATGTAAGAGAGAATGTAAAGAGAATGATGTGCCAAGCAGTAACGATAATTTTATTTTATTTGTGTGAGTATTCATATCGTATAAAATGCCTATAAGTGGTTATTAACGACTATTGTTTGAGAAGATCAAAAGTGCTGAATACGTGTTTTTTTTCTTTTTAAGCGAATGACAGATAAAAGTGAAATTGCCTCTTAATAGCGCTTTTGTTTCCACACATAACCTTGGGGAAATCATCCACATTTCCTAACTCAACCACACATGGAACAAAATTTCCCGTAAACATGATAAGCATAACAGGAAATAAAGCACACAATCCGGATCTGAACATCCTCACCTTCTCCTCGGTAGTGAAAAAAAAAAAAAAAAAAAAAAAAAAAACACTTGGGAATTAAACTACTCGTTTCTTTTTTATTATTCTTCCTTTTCCAGTGGCTTTATTGTTTTCTCAATTTTCAGTCGATCTCTCCACATGACATATTGCTCAAGGTTCTAACGGAAAGCATACTAATAGCTTTACAATGGGAAGCGATATTTGTGCACGTTATTTTTAATTTGAATAACGTCACGAGAAAGATGATATCATCGGTTATCACAGAGGAATGTTTCCCGCAATTAAAACACCCGGAAGAAGCAATTAACGAGCCACGTAGGGTGAAGATAGACATCAAGAATGTGGAGAGTATAAAGACAGTGGAGCAAGCTGGAGAGAAAAAGCGAAGGAAAAAGAAAAAGTTCGATCGATCTGAGGAAAGGAAACAGAAGGAGCAAGCAGAGAAAGCGAAACGCGAAACCGAAGAAAAGGAACGTTTGCGTAAATGGGAGGAATGTTGGCAAAAAAAGTTGGCGGCTCAAGAGGAACGTAATAACGCCGAGTGTTGCGTAGGCAAAGGTCTATGCTTGAAACCCAGAACACAGTCGAATATCTGGATTAACGTAACTCAGGATCGATCTCTCCAAGAGATACACATGTTTATCAAGTGTGTTTGTTGAATAATATCGAGGTAATGATTTAATGAAACGAGCAATTCATTTCTGCAGACACGTTCCAGTTCCGAAGCCGAAGCCTCCGCCTCTACCACCGCTGGAAATACAAAAACAAGATTACGCTCCGATTATTACCTCAGCGGATAAGATCGTGAAGCAAAAAGTCGACAAAAAAAGCGGCCCGGAAAAGAAGAAGAAGAAGCAGTCAGTGAAAATGTTCAACAGTGGGTGATTCTTCTGGGCGAACTTCTCCCACTCTGCGTTTCCTGGGCACCCATCTTCGCTACGTGAAAGCGTATTTCTCTGTTTGCTGAGACATTTGTAAAAATACATCAAAGACCACAGCAAGGATGGGAGGGTCGCGACACGTTATTCTCGTCGTTCAAAGAAGTACCAGAATGGAAATAGCGAAGAAATAAAAAGAACGTCCACTGAAATGAAACCTACTCGCTTTTGCCAGTCTGCAATTTCTTATAATCTGTTAGATAGGTTAAAAAGTAGAATTTGGATTCAGCCAGGCATGCCAATTCTCACAAGTATCATTTAGTTATTTAATTGTCACTTTACTCTCGTATCGTGATATAAACGTTGCTTGTATCAACGAAGCATTTTTTAAAGTTAAAAATTTCAATTGAAAGGAACATGAAAAATTTTTCCAGCTGTGCGGATTTGTCGAGAGCGACGTGTTCATTGACATCAACCCCGGAGGGAACAAACGGTATGCAAACTGCAAGGACGTTGCACGCGAGAAGTTATTCCTGTTCCACATGTTCGCGGTAAGGGACAAGAAGAGAGGGAAGGTGGATGATAAAAGGTGACGGAAAGAAGGGGAAGGTAGGGGGTGAACATGAGAGAGGAGGGACCACGAGGATGAGACTGCGCGTGCTTCTCTCTCTTTCCTCCGCCACCCTCAGTGCTTGCCACCGAACAGCGGACGGGGTTGTAAGCCGATATTGTCGGGCAGGCGCATTGAGAACCGGCAACCAGCCGGGAAGGAAGATAACAATAAAAGAGCATATATAATCGCGCCTAAACGCACGTTAACCTCGCGGCCTGGCTGGTTGGCTGGCTGGCGCGTCGCCTGTCGAAATGTAAGCACAATGCGAGAGAGAATACGTGAAAGTGAAGCGCCAGTTCGAAAGTGAAGTATTAGAGAGCACGAAAGCGCGCGCGTACTACTTACGCCCTAATATCACGTATTTTTTTGATCACTTCTCTCGACCACGGTCACACGCACGCAGGATCTCCCCATCCAGGTGGTGATCCAACAATCTGTACAGAGAATACTATTTCTTTGTGCAGATATAATTCGGTCGGTCTTTTTGATTTTTTTCGTCTGTTGCGTGTATCTCGAAGGATCATGAACAACTCGCCGCAGAATACCGAGGTGGCCGGGCAACAACACCGTGCCGGCGTTGAGAACAGCGACGAGGAGGAATGGAGTGGTGTCGTGGAATGTGTAATGTTATTACATCGACTCGTGTATCGAAAGAATGATTTTTATTTGCTGAAACAGCCTTCCTCAAGCAGTTTCTTGTTGCCCATTTCGAGTTGTTTTTCGTGGTCAAGGAAATTCTGTGGGTTGCACAACGTGTGTTGAATCTTATTATCTGATTCTTAATTATTTTTTTTGTTATTGTTGTTGTTGTTGTTGTGGTGGTTGTTGTTAATTGTTGTTGTTGTGGTTGTTGTCTCTCATTTTTCTTCTCCTTTATGTTTCTTATGTAGATGTGTCTATTGATTTTTATTTCTCATCTCCCAATCGCCGCGCGAGTACTTTGCAAAAATGCATCGTTATGTTTGTTGGGTTACGTTGTTTTCGTTGCGACGCTACGTTTAGGATGTAGATTCTCTAGAGGTTTAGTAAACGTTCGTTTAGTTTATGAGAACGTGTGTTTTCGTTAGTTGAAATATGTGCAGTGTTAGAGAATGACAATAGAAGCGCCTTTGTTTCGCGCTTATCGCAAGTTTACCACGATGTTGTACTATTTTGTAGGCTGTGCTGGAGAGATCAAAGTCAGATCGAGTAACGAGGGCGGATGAGGATAGACGTCGTCGTACCATCATCGTTGAGAAGAAAAATGGTACATACGGTTTTACGTTACAGGTAACGTATCCGTTTGTCTACTTGTACTTTATTCGAGCCACGTAAAATGTCGAAGATCTTTTCGTTCCTCTTATCCATGATCGTACCATTATCATACCCTGTGACTGCCTTTACAAATATTATCTATCCCCCTTGTTTAAAGTTCAACGAGAACTTATTAATCGATTGTAATCAGTTCACGTGAAATTGCACAGAGTTATGGGATACATTACAAGAGGGAACAGGAAATCGAGATGGTCACGTACGTCGACTATGTGGAATACGATGGGCCAGCGTTCAAAGCAGGAATGCGGGAAGGTGACGTGATACTTTCGATAAATGGCCACGAAATGGACAGAGCGGATCACAAAACATTGGTCAATTTTATAAAGAACTGTGATACCAGGATGCGAATGGTTGTGTCCTTTGAAGACTGCGTGAGAAAGGTAGACTCTTTAGCTTGTAATTGAATGACAAAATGAATTTCAGTTTTTTTTTTTTTTCTTTCCTTAAACTCAAACGTAATATTCGCCATTGTTCTCCAGGTGGAATTACATATGCGCTACATCGAATTACAACGTGCTCTTCAATCACGCCTCGGCGAATTAGAGAGACTCTGCGAGAGAGAACGGTCTATTCTCATGGGTCGATGGAAAACCCATTCACTGCCAGCACGCAAGAGAACGCCTAACAGTATGATTACGAGTAACCCCAATCAACCATCGCCGTCATCAAGTTTCAATTCTTCCACCATTCAATGCTGTCGGCCTGCTACATCTACGGAACATCTGTTACTTTATAACGTGGTATCCTATATAAAAACATCAAATCTCCTTCACCTGTTACATTTTAAATTGATTTAACTCTGTATTCTTTACTTTTTCTTAAAAAAAAAAATCTTTTATTTTCATAATAGTAAACATTACAGTATTCCAAATACGAAATGATATTAAAACAACAGGGTTAATTCCTGTGACAAGAATAGAAGAGAAATACACGAAACATTTTAGAATATTTAAAGTAGAATATATAGAAAATATACAAAACACTTTTCATTTTTTATAGTTTCCAGATGGACGACCATGTTTAGTTCCTCGGAACACTGCTTGCTTAGTAACAGTAGGACCGCCGCGTTCGCGAAGCGATCATCACCATTTTCTCTCAAAGATGTCGAGCGAATCAGGAGTGACTGTTTCGTCGCGGCATAGCTATCACCAGGCAAACGGGATGAATAGCACACCAGCCAAATCGAAATCGCACAAATCGTGTCAACAACAACAGCAACAACAGTCCAACGCTAGCGGAGACTCGCTTCCTCTGCATCCACCGCCCCAGAATAGCCTTTGCGTTGCCTGCATCTCGAGCGCCAGTCGTCGTAGGGAACAATCGGATAGTGGTAGTTTGGACGCGTATGACTTAGCCAGTCCATGTTGCGACCCAAATTGCGTACCCAGTCGTAGACGCCGAGAAAAACAAAGGAGAGCAAGAAACGAACAAAATCATCATTCGCAACAGCAACAACAACAGCAGCAGCAGCAGCAGCAGCAGCAGCAGCAGCAACAAGTACAACATCATCATGCGCAGCGAGAGCAGTCGCAACAATCGCAGCAACAGCAACACGGTGCGCATAACTGTTCGCGTACATCGGGACATAGTCTGCATTCTGTTACCAGTAGCGATATCTCGACCGCAGCTGAAAGCGTAGCCTCCTGTTCGACGAGCCTAAGTACGGATACCCTCTACTGGGATCCAAGCGTACATCAACGACCACCACCGTGCCTTCAGTATGCTAAGCCAAAGTCTTGGGACAATCTGACTACCAAGGCGTTCGGTGGCTACGGTTTCGGATACGGTTACTTGGATACAGCTACTATAAAAACGCACAGCGCCGAGAGGCCTGGAAAAAGTGCGCACGGACGCGCGAAAACGCCTACTGGAACTGTTCAAAGGAGAACGAGCAGCGGCACTACGTATTCGGGTAACTCCAACAGACACTTCCAGCCAACCAAGTCTACCGAGAGTTTGTTAATACCGCCACAGTATCAGGGCGAGCTGGATGCCAGTCTAAGCTGTGAGTGTCTCGATGGGCCAGCTCCGCGATGCATGCCGGTGATTCAGGTAGAAAAGCACAATCGGCAGGAAGAGGGTGGATATATTATCAATACGCACGCTCAGGTTCGACATCGACGATCCAGCCATTCGGATGGGAAATTAAGGGCACTAAATAATTCCGAAGTGACGCGTCTGTAAATCACCCGTTTCATTGAAAACTGTATTCTAATAAAAGGAAAAGAAATACTCGTATAATAATTATTGTATCAAGTTCTGGGCGACGAGGCGACGTGTTTATCGTACGTCAAACTTGTTCCGCATTTAAACCTTTGTATTCAGCTTTGTATCATGACAATTAGTAATTGTATTCTCGCCGAACGATAGCGGAATGGACCACTGTTTTTTGGAAACTTTTTCGGAAACACATTCGATTGGTTATTGGATTTGGTTTATCGACTAAATTTATCGTTTGACCAACGACATTTCCGAACAATATGATAAAGGATATCATCGATGTTCACGGCGCTTTTTAAATCTTTTTTAAATTTTTATCGATAGTTGATTATATGATCAGTTGAAAACAGTTCTAAACTGTGACAAACGTTAATAATAATATTATCGTTATCATAAAAAGAATAAATTATTAAAGCGTACTGTTTCGATGTTGCAATTATTCTACAATTCCGTACAACTTAGGAGCTTCGTAAATATTAATAGTTTAGTTGATTTGAATTCAAAATCATAAATAAAGTTGCATATAAAATTCCTATAACTTCTTCTTCGTACCAACCAATCGGAATTAACACACTAGAAAATTTTACTAGATAGATCGTACTTTTCAATCTATGTAGAATATATACCTAATGCTTCACGCAGTATTATTTTGTAGCATAGTAGAGTTAGGTTATATTCTAATGGTCGAAATTTAAAAATATCAACAAAAAAATACCAAGATGTCGAGGAAAAAGCATAACGTGTCATATATTAAGCCGAATGAGCCAAAATTCTTACGTGAATTAAAGGAACAAATCGGATATAAGGAAGGACCTACGATCGACACAAAGGTATGTTTTATTGTTCAGTATATATGAGTATTTATGTGATTTCTAGATTATTAATTATAATACAATACATAATATTCATTGAAATTAAGTTTTATCAAATCATTAAATATGTTACAATATATATTTGTTTATAATTGGTATAAACTATCATTTAAACAATCTCTTAAAACAGAGAGAAGTGTTACCACAAGCTTCAGATAATGAAGAAGAATGTGAAGAAGAGAAGCCTGTTGTAGTTGTATTAAATTCTGAACATTTGAGTGCAGAACAAGCAGAGGCATATAAGAAAAAAAAAGAAGAAGGTATGTCTTATAACTTTTATCTACTCTGTAATAATAAAATAATTATATATGAATTTTTGTGTTATAGAGGAAGCTAATACTCCAGCAGATTTATCTAAAAGAATTATATTTAAAAAAAATAAAATAACAGAGACAGAATCAGATACAGCAAATAAGCCAATGAAAAAGAAGATAAAGAAAGCAAAACAAGAAAAAGTTGTATTATCTTTTAGTGATAATGATGAAGATTATTTATAACATTATTTATATTAAATACTTTTGTAACTAAAATACAAAAGATATGATTTTGTACAAAATAAGATATGATTGTACAAAAATATAAATTTAAAAATATTTACTATAATAATAATACACATTACAAATATGTACAAGATATATAGCACATAATAATTGGTGTAACAATATATAAATATGTCGATGGAAGAATTTTGTATATTTAAAGTGTTAAAAATATTGAAAATGTAAATATAATTGTTATAATAACAGTGTTGCTGAGATAGATATAATTAATTGTATAATAAATTTTTAATAAAAAAAAATTTTTTTTTTAAAGTTTACAAAATAATTCTTCTAGCATTGCAGAAAAAAGAATAATTAGAAAATTTATTAAATAAACAATTATATTATTTTATTTAGTATATGCATAAAATGAGAAAATAAAGTAATAAATTTTTATTATACAAGTTTAATATTTATAAAACTGATAGAATAATATTTTTACGTGAATCACAGAGAGGGTGTCGTTCTAAAGGAGCCTATAGAAAAGGGCGGGGGCTTGTTAGTCAACCCTATTACTATACATTGTTGCAATTGCAGATTGTCCTTATTCTTGGGAGAGGTTCTCATTGGATGTGCACGTGTACATGGTCACGTGACTATATATAACAAACGCTACTGGTCGTTTCGTCCCTTTAACATTACGCGTACGTCATAAAATTTACGGTCACGTGATTATTGTCGCCATCTTGGCAGTTTTCGACGACGAAGGTAAGAAGGATCCGTGACGTCGAACCCAAATAAACACAAAGTATATGTGAATAATTTTGATATAAAAACGGTGTATATCAAGTGTCGAAGGAGTCGCGTGTGTAACCAAATATTTATCAGTGTTCCGAACGGTCAGTGAATTTAAATAGCGCGGCATTTGCGATGTGTGTGTGTTTTCGATTATTGGTCCTCTTTGGGGGGATAATCGTGATCGGCTAGCGACCACCACGGCAGCTGTTCGACAGTTAAGCCAGCCCTTATGAAGAAATGGCGGCACCTTTCTAAAATTTTAATAAATTAATAAACACGAGTGTTTCGTATTTCCGAGATCGTAGATGAAAACAAGATATTATCATTTGTATCAAAAAGAAAAAAAAAAGAAAGAAAGAAAGAAAGATACGCCAAGGGACTTGCGATTGATTTGTTGGATTTTATGATTTGTATAGTTGTGGTACCGAATAACACAATATAACCAGGGCCGTGACGATCCTCTCAATTCCCTTGCGCATTCCCCGTAATTTTAACTCCTCTTATCTCTTTATTAAACAGACCGTCTCGTCAGATTTTTAACAAAATTTCGAATGTGTACGCTAATGTTTACGTTTCTCTAGTGACTATACTTACTACGTTACTGATGGTACTAGAATTCATTCACGATATATCGATTGCTATTAGCTACAGATTTAACTTAACTAAATTACTCACGTACATTAGATTATTATATACGATAACATAGTGATATTTACACACTGAATATTGTCTAATGAGATTTGTTATGTACATTTCATTGTTGTTATCATTGTTGAAACGATTCATCCAAAATTGATCGTTAATTTATTTCAATTATATCGAAACAGTATGTGTTTATCTTTTGAAAGTGGTGTGATTTTGCATCATTATTTTGCTTACTTAAGTGCATGATCAGCAAAATACGGAATAAATTCCTGGGAAAAATGCTATATGTAAATTATTAAAATTGCGATAGAGAGAATCATGATTTTAATCTTCTAAGCCGACTAAATAAAATATTATTATACATTAATATTTCTATAATTTCAATTATTTAATTATATATTACTTTATTTCAATGAATTTTCAGTATAGTGAAACGGAAGATACTTATTGTTAGTTCAACCAGTGTTCTCTTTTTGTATTTAATATACATTTAAACAATTTATATTGCATACAATATAAATTTCTTATATTACGACTAAAGACGTTTAATCGACTTTGTTTTTTTTATTCTTATTCAAAAAGAGGATATATTATTTAATATTTTAAAAAATATATCATTTTTTTCTCTTTCTTTTTTTTTGTTTGTATAAATTTTTGTTTCAGAGCAATAACATCCATATAAAGAACGATTGAATAATGATTAAACAGCGTCCAAAGGAAATACTACATCACCGATTTTCCGTTCTCAACCATTCTACATATTATTTTTATTTAACCCTCGTGAAAAAGAGCCCACAATTTTGCGACGGCCCTGGGCATAACTTTTTAACGTTTCCAACGTCGCGCCTGCCCTCTGGTGCCTAATTTTCAGCGATGAATGTTCACTATTTACAGGTTTTGTGAATAAATCGTGTATCGTGTGTATAAGGGACAAATCGTAGCTTCACCGTCGCCGCTGAAGATCACACGTTGTGAAAATGTCGCGGTATCAGAAAATCGTTTAGGACAAGCAAGCGGTCAGGTGCGTATATTTGTGCCTAGTGACAGGAGACGAATGGAGTTTGTACGCGTTCCATTACCTCATAGATCTGCCGGGGGATTCGTGGATAAGCGAGTTAAGTAGCACGAGACATATCCCGAAACAAACATACTGAATGGAGTTCCTTGGTGTTTTCGATCACCTGTACGTCCAATTCATTTTCACGTTCTTCAACTTCCATAATAATCACTTCATTGTTAGTTTCAACGAACGGTACGAATGCTGTATCGAAGATGAGCGTTAATGTAGGTTAAAGTATGCTCAGCATCTTTTAGAAGAGTCCTGAAGATATCTTTCGAACGAGATGTAGAATGAATTTTTATCATCCTATCTTTACTTCATATATCGCCAAATCCGTGTTTCCAAGAAAATTCGTCATAAAGATAAATGGCAACTCGAAAAATTTCAATAGGAACCTTGGATAAAAACGCCTCCGATCGGGTGGATCAGATCTATATAGATAATCTGACAAAATGGTCCGCGTTTATCTAGTTCCTTCATCGTCGCGTATCGTCAGCCCGTGTTAGAGTATTTGTTGCTTGCTGCGTTGAAATCACATGGATAATGTGAATTTCTAAGAGGAAATTCGTTTAAGTGCAACATCGCCATGAAAGATGAATCTGTCACAGTCGGATTCGCTGGGTCATAGGGTTGTTCTGTAGGTGGTTGGCGTGTTGTCCGGCATGTAATATAGAGAGTTCGGAAGGTTGTGCGCTCGCGCGCTCATCTATGGATGGCGAGTTGGTGGATGGTTCGTGTGTGCGTATCATTGCGTGTATGTTTATATATCTACGATTGCATGTGTGTCCATGTGTACGAAAGGCGAAAGTTCGATGTGTCAGTTGTGTAGGTATAGGTGTAGGTTTGGTAGGTTTGTGAAGGTTGAGCGAGGAGAGGTACGGCGGAGGGCTGACTGACTGGCTGGCTGGCTGGCTGGCTGGCTGGCGCTCGGACGCGGTGGCTGGCAAGTGCAGGTGACTGACTGAGAGACGCTAACCATTCAAGCTACTCTCGCAGGACTTTAGTTCATCCGATCATTTTTGTCCACGGGCCCACTCCCTATCCTCTGATCGCTTTTTCCAAGTGTGCGCGCGTGCCAAGAGTTTTCGTCGACAAATCAAAGACGTATTTCGGGAATCCGTCCGGACTGGAGTGTGCGATATATACTCGACGAACTTTGTTGGTTATGGGAACAAGGAAATAGGAGTACGGAATTCGCAGCGCCATTTTGAAAAATTCGGCCCCGCTAAAAATTCTCTCTCTCTCTCTCTCCTCTCCTCTCCTCTCCTCTCCTCTCCTCTCCTCTCCTCTCCTCCTCTCCTCTCTTTCTCTCTCTACCTCCCTCTCTCCCTCCGCCCTCGCGTTCTCGTATCGTCGTTGTAATGAAACGCGTCGTCGTCGCCACGAGACGTTTATCTCTGTGTTCTTATTAATTGTTTAGATCAACTGTACAGTGGTGTCCCCATGGAAGGCACGCTGGAAGAACCCCCTATTAAGGACTCGTCTCAGGCTAGCTCTGATAAGCATCTCAAAGGTATGCTCTATTTCTTTTTTCAAACGATTACAGCAATTTTTCTTCGTACAACAAATATTCACTTTTCTGTTTGCTTCATTTCTTCTGCTGTACAAAAATTGACATCAGTATAAAGTTTTTGGCTTTTCTGCTGGATATTGTTTTATTGTATTTTGCAACGCTTTGCATTGAATTTGGATGTCATTAAAAAAATGTAACTTGTTTAAATTACATAGCAATGATTCTTATTCTTTAACATTTGTTCTGTTATGGTTTTTGATTACTGTAATATAATTGTAATTCTCAATATATGTATATACATATACTTCATGACTTACTATTTATTAATATGACTAATGTTAAAAGTACCAGTAGCTTACTTTATTTATCATACTATTAGTACCTGTTTAAAAATAAGTTGTTATATTTTGCAGATGTGATTCCAAATGGAGTTAATGGAAATTATAATGACAAGGAAGAATTCATTGATGCGGATTCTAATATATCCAAATTTGTGTCAAAAGAAATTAGTGTAGTAAGAGAGGATAGACAGGAAAGTGAAAAAGAAGACGATGACGACGAACATGGAATGGATGTTGAAATGGAAGAAAGGGGTATAGAATCTGAAAATAGTGAACGAAATGGGTTAGCACAAAACAGAAGTAAAGGCAGTGAAATGTCGGAGTCAGAAAATGACTCTAAAATGTCTAAATTATCAGAGGGTGTCAGTGACATGAACAATTTTAGTGAAGTGTCTAAGACTGAAGATAAGTGTAAAAACACATCGTGTGAGGCTATGGAAGTTGATGAACAGAGTAATAATTCAGATGTTGAATGTCTTGACGAGAGCATCACAGAAATACATTCTGATCACGACGATGTGTTCACTATGAAAACTTCTGTAGATAAAAATTTATCAGGCAGTAGTGACATACAACTTAATGAGAGCAATGAAATTGCTGATAGTAGTATGGATACATCGGATGTAAAAATTTGTGAAGAAAATGGAAGTTGCGACAGTCCAGATATTGAAGAAATAACCGATAGTGCAAAGAATAGTCATAATACTTCACCAGAACGTGCTAATAAAGATCCAAAACAAAGAAAATCGAGAAAGCAAGTAGATCTTAGTAGTATTACACCAAGAAGAAGTTCTCGAAATATAAAGAGGACAAGTTACATAGAAAAAGAAATAGAAGAAGAAGTAGATGACGATGGTTCAGACATTGAGGAGATTAAGCCAGAAG